GTATCAGAGATTCGAATCCCGGATAGAGAATCTGAACTCATGAGAGCGACTCACTGAAGGAGATTAAAGGAATTTCATCCGTGAAAGATGATGCTCTTGAGAATTGTGAAGAATGTGTGTTTCCTCGGCCATAACAACATCAGTACACAATATCGTCGCTTTTTTTGTGAAGATTTATGCAGAAACTCTATTGATGTCTCCCAGTGATGTGATTTCCAGGTGAAACTCTCCAAAAATTTGGAAATTCTCGAATGATATTCAGCTGCAGTCAATGAGCTAGCGAAGGGCTCTAAATACAAGGAACTGGGGCTACTCTCCCCCTTCCTTATATCCCGTTCCACAGCTCATTATAACCCTTACATGTTGAGTGCTTTCCTATGAGCGTAATAAAAATAGTCATTACTACTGCCTCTACAACCACCATCACTACCACTGCTAGTACTACTACTATTACAACTACTACAACTATAACTACTATTACTATTACTATTAATAATATTACTACTACTCCTGCTATTAATGCTATTTCTTTTCCTGTGCCAAACCTAGGGCAAAAACATCCAATATCGGACCCTTCCTTAAACAAGACAGAACTTACACAGATGACAGCAAAGAATTGAGTGATATTCAGAAGTCCCAGTAAGACTCAGTGTTTAGTGAGCCGCTGACCAGACTAAGAGTCGATAATCTAAATGAATTTATAACCGAGACTCAGATGACATGGCCATGCACTCTGTCCCAGGCATAGACTCGTGGAATTGTGTGTTCATCAAGAACTGCAAGAAACCCTTTTCACGTGCCCAAACTATTCTATGGAGAGGAAGCATGAACACAGGGGTCATCCCACACTCACTAAAAATAACAGATATAATCCTATTCCACAAAAGTGGCAGAAAAGCATTTGCAAACAATTAGATTGATAGCACTAACGTCCCACATCATAAAAATCTTTGAAAGGGTTCTAAGAAGCAAGACAGCCAATCACTCAGATACTCATCACTTACACAACACAAACAGCATGAGTTAAAGACTTTGAGAAAGCCTTCGACAAGTGTGGTCATGGCGTAATAGTGCACAAAATGTGCAGCTAAGGAATAACAGGTAAAGTTGGTAGATAGATTTATAATTTCCTAACAAACAGAACACAAAGAGTAATAGTAAACAGAATAAAGTCAAGGGCGGCTACAGTGCAAAGGATGGGAGCTAGTGCTGTGCCACAAGGCACGGTACTAGCTCCCATCCTCATCATCATATCTAACATAGAGATATCGGCCACATCACCGTGTTATCCTTTGTTGATGATACCCGAATTTGCATGACAGTCATCAATTGAGATCATTGTAAACCTCCAAGTGGACGTCAGAAAACAATATAAAGGTCAATGAAGACAAATTTCAATTACTCTGCTATGAAAAACTCGAGGAAATAAAAACTGTATCTGAGTATAAAACAAATTCCAACTACACAATAGAGCGAAAAACTAATGTGAAGAACCTGGGAGTGATAATGTCAAAGAAACTCCCTCTCAAAGATCACGACAATGTATCCACTACATCTGCTACGAAAATGATAGGATGGATAATGAGAACCTTCAAAACTAGGGATACAAATCTATTGATGTTCTTCAAATTTATTGTTCTTTTTAGGAATATTGTTGTACACTAACGACCCCTTTCAAGGCAGGCGAAATTGCAGACCTGGAGAATATACAGAGAACTTTCATTGCACGTATAAACACGGACGAAGTCCCTTGATCTGTACTCCTTGGAACGCAGGCGAGAAAGATGCATGATAATATACACTTGGAAAATCCTAGAGGGACTAGTCCCAAATCTACACACGGAAATCAATCCCTAAGAAAGCAAAAGACCCGACAGGCGTTGCAACATCCCTCAGAATGACTAGCAAGGCACCATAAGTACTGTATTAATGTTGACGGAATTACCGACAATATAGTAATGAAGCATTTTATTGTGACAACGTTTCGCTCTCCAGGAGCATTGTAAAGACTGGAGAGCGAAACGTTGCCACAATAAAATGTCACTTGCACTTGTGTCCTTTTACCTAATACCATAAGTACTCTACGAGACAGCACAATAAGTGTTAGGGGCCCAAGATTGTTCAACTGCCTTCCAGCATACATAAGGGGGATTACCAATAGACGCCTGGCTGTCTTCAAGAAGGCACTGGACAGACACCAAAAGTAAGTACCTGACCAGCTGGGCTGTGGTTCGTACATCAGTTTGCGTGCGGTCAGCAGTAACAACCTGGTTGATCAGACCCTGTTCAACCACGAATCCTGGTCTCAGACCGAGCCGCGGGGGCGTTGACCCCCGAAACCCTCTTCAGATATACCAAAGTTAAGGAAATTTGAAGTCTAAAACTCTACGGACATAACCAACCTAGTTTCATTTACGGTAAAAAATTCTTGACTCCTTGACTGGGTTGTGCTCCAGCTTCTGGGCCTCCTAAAGTGCTGAGGTACAGCTCCTGTGCTTCGGAACGTTAAACTATGGCTAATAGACTTCTTTTGAACATTTATGTTAAAGTGAGAAAGTAATTATGCTGGTGGACTTAAATGCTAAAGTAGGAGAAACTGTTGTAGAGGGAGTGTTGGGTAAGTTTGGGGTGCCAGGGGTCAAGGATAATGGGGGTGCCAGGAGTAAAGGATGATGGGGGGTGCCAGGAGCAATGGATAGTGGGGGTTGCAGGAGTAAAGGATAATGAGGGTGCAGGAGTAAATGATAATGAGGGTCCCAAGGAGTAAAGGTTAAGGGGGTGCCAGGAGTAAAGGATAATAGGGATGCCAGAAGTAAAGGATAATGAGGTTGCCAGGAGTAAAGGATAATGGGGATGCCAGGAGTAAAGGATAATGAGGGTGCCAGGAGTAAAGGATAATGAGGATGCTAGCAGTAAAGGATTATGAGGGTGCCAAAGGTAAAGGATAATGGGGATGCCAGCAGTAAAAGATAACGAGGGTGCCAGGAGTAAGGATAATGAGGATGCCAGGAGTAAGGAAATGTGGGTCCCAGGAGTAAAGGATAATGGGGGTGCCAGGAGTAAAGGACAAGGGGGGGGTGCCAGAGTAAAGCATAATGGGGGTGCCAGGAGTAAAGGATAATGTGGGTGCCAGGAGTAAAGGATAATGTGGGTGCCAGGAGTAAAGGATAATGTGGGTGCCAGGAGTAAAGGATAATGTGGGTGCCAGGAGTAAAGGATAATGGGGGTGCCAGGAGTAAAGGATAATGAGGATGCCAGGAGTAAAGGATATGTGGATGCCAGGGTAAAGGATAAGGGGGGTGCCAGGAGTAAAGGACAATGGGGGTGCCAGGGGGTAAGCATAATGGGGGTGCCAGGAGTAAAGGATAATGGGGATGCCAGGAGTAAAGGATAATGGGGGTGCCAGGAGTAAAGGATAATGTGGGTGCCAGGAGTAAAGGATAATGGGATGCCAGAGAAAGGATAATGAGGATGCCAGGAGTAAAGGATAATGTGGGTGCCAGGAGTAAAGGACAATGGGGGTGCCAGGAGTAAAGGATAATGGGGGTGCCAGGAGTAAAGGATAATGGGGGTGCCAGGAGTAAAGGATAATGTGGGTGCCAGGAGTAAAGGATAATGTGGGTGCCAGGGGGTAAAAGACAATGGGTGCCAGGAGTAAGGATAATGGGGGTGCCAGGAGTAAGAATAATGGGGTGGCCAGGAGTAAAGGATAATGGGGGTGCCAGGAGTAAGGATAATAAAAAACCCTTTTAAAATGAATTAAAGGAGCAAGATTTTAAACTTTAACAGCAAAAACAGACACAACCAAAGTCTTCAGCGAGCTCTGGTGAGTAGGCCTACTGTATAGTTGTATTTTGTATTTTTAAATGCAATTTTAAAATGTTTCTGTGGCTCCTGAACATTCAAAAATGTATGAAAAATTTGAACATTAAAATGGGATAAAATACCGACAGGTTGTTAGGTAAGGACACATATGCAACGCTAGGTATCTTTATTTCGAACGTTTCGCCTACACAGTAGGCTTCTTCGTCGAGTACAGAAAAAGTTCTTCTGCTTCTATCAACTTTTTATACTCGACTGAAGAAGCCTACTGTGTAGGCGAAAACGTTTCGAAAATAAAGATACCTAACTGTTGCATATGTGTCTTACCTAACATGAAAAATGTTATATGTGGGCTCTTTTTAATAAAGAACTTGTCCATATCTGGTGTAGTTTTACATTTTCTTGTATCGTTTTACTGTGATATCCTTTTAGATTTGGGTTCCTAGACGACTGTGTCCACAAACAATGTCCTTAGTGGGTCTTTAGTCATATGGTGTCCCACAGCTGGAGCTTTTGATCATCTGACCGAGGCCTTCCACTGGCTTACCCCTCCACCCTTTTAAGAATTAAGTTTATAGTTATAACAATTATCGCTCGCACACCGGCAAGGGTAAAGCCATTTAATTAAGTTGAACTTTACTGATGATGTGGAACTGAGAACAAAAAATAGGTGAGGATAATAAAAGGCTACAAATGGATGTGAATAAGCTGCGAAAACTGTGGTTATTATTATTATTATTATTATAATCAAGGGGGAAGCGCTAAACCCGGAGGATTATACAGAACGAAAACTGTGGTGCGAAAACTGTGGTGAACTAGACTAGTTCGGTTCGGTTCACGGAAGACTGAACGAACAAGTGCGGAGCTTCGGAAAATGGTGAGTAATAGCATCCATCGCTGTCACTATCATGACCCGGCATGATAGTGACTTTCTTTGTACTTAGCTAATCAAAATTGTGATTGCACATTGTAAATTATGCAAAGAAATAAGATCCTTAATGCTTAACATCCATCGCCCTTTTCATCGCTTCTGATATCATCAAAGAAATGCTTCTAACATGAACAATGGATGTAAACAAACTGCAAAACTGTGGTGAACTAGACTAGTGCGGTTCAGGTAACATGTTCCTTAAGTTCACGGAAGATCAAACGAACAAGTGCGGAACTTCGCAAAATGGTAACAGCGTCCATCGTTACCTGTAACTACCATCGCTCTTTTCATCGCTTCTGATATCATCAAAGAAATGCTTCTAACATCAACAATCAAATCATACATTTGCTTAAATATACGATTATGAATTTGTTATACTATTTCATAGTTGTAATACTAACGAGTAGCGTCCTGCGTGGCGGCCCTGGTGGACGCCGTCTTGGTAAACAAGACGGTGTTGGTGTACAAGCGCTAGTTGTCGGACACCCTCTTGTCGTCGGACACGAGGGTGTGGATGTCGCGGAGAGAGCAGGTGGACTCCGTCGTGTTCCAGGTGACCACCAGAGAGATGGTCTTCTCCAGCCAGCTGTTGGATACCCTCATGTATATCACAGCTACTACGAGGATGATCATCTGTCAGACGATGATCTGTCAGACGATGATCTGTCAGACGATGACTTCTGGGACGACTTCTGGGGTGACCTCTTCTCAGACGACGACTCAGACATGTCGGACTCAGACATGTCGGACTCAGACATGTCGGACTCAGACGATGACGACGACGGCTTCTACGATTACTACCGTCACCAAACTCTCTGGGATCCTCCCGTCACCTATCGTGACGGGAGGCAGGGAGCCGGGAGTGGACAGGTCCTAGCCAAGGTGGACAAAGGCTCTCTTACTGCCAGTGACGAAGCTCTGGAGGCAGAGAGCCAGGCTCAGGAGAGGCTGCCAGACTCCAGTGTGCTGGTCAACGAGGCTCAGATAAGATCTTCCATGGAAGAAAAAGAACAGAGGGAAGCTCTGGTAAGATCCTTGAAAGAAGAAAGAGAGCCGAAGGAGGCTCAGAAAAGATCCTTTGAGGAGGAAAAACAGCAGAATAAAGCTTTCTTACGATCCTTGAGGGAGGAGAAGGAGACTCAGCAAGGAAGATCCTTGGAGGAGAAAGAGGAGAGGGATGCTCTGCTAAGATCCTTGAAGAAGGAAAAAGAGGAGAAGGAGGCTTTGCAAAGATCCTTGAAGGAGATAGAAGACCAGAAGGCGGCTCTGGAAAATGCCTTGTTGTTAGAAAAAGGGCGTAGGCAGGAGGTGGAAGATAAGGTGGAAGACTTAACGGTGTATACTCAGAGACTAGAAGACAACAGGAAGTTGGTCAAAAATGTCCTGGAGGCCAGAGACCTAAATATTCAACAACTCCAGAAGAATATTGGGCTGTTGAAAAATATGGTAAAAGATGGCGAAGCCTGCCACAATTTCCTGCCATTGTTGGAGCAGGAATTGTCTCAGTGCAAAGGTGAAAAAGAATCAAATATCAAAACGCTTGACAGCATAAAAATTGAGTTGTTGGACCTCCAGAATATCTTCCTGGAGCTTGGAGTGGAGGTTGATTCTCTCAACCAAGTGCTGGAAGAGAAGGACAAAGAGTTGAAGGCCATGTCAGAGGACTGTTGTGACGAAGACGTAGATGTGTTACGAGCGGAACATGGTTTACTGAAGCATTATCTGAGCCAAGCAAATGTACAACTGGGCACGGAATCTCTTGAAATCAAACGTTTGAGAGGAGAGGTCGAAAAATATTACAAACTTCAAGTGAAGTTCAAGGAAGAGAATGAAGGCCTCGTGAATGACATTAAGATTGCTGAGCGGGAAAAAGAGGCCTTAAATAAAGCAATAGAAGCTCAAGAGAAACAAATCCACCAGTTCAGAGCTTCGTTACAAAGGGAGAAAAATGACCACTTAAGCACCAGGTTTAAACTTAAGTTAATGACCCACGTGGAGAGAGAGAAACGGAGAAAATTGTTAGACCACTGGATGTTTCACCCCATCACTCTATATATATCAGGTGGTGTCTTAATTTTGCTGCGCTTGGTGATCCCCTTACTTCAAGACTGGTACCTGTCTCTTTGTAGGTTATACCTCAGTTATATCTGAGGAAGAACTTCACCCTACTGCTGGGGTGTTAGGTACAAGATTTCACCCTACTGCTGGGGTGTTAGATACAAGACTTCACGCTACTGCTGGGGTGCTAGGTACAAGACTCACCCTACTGCTGGGGTGTTAGGTACAAGACTCACCCTGTGCTACTGGGGTGTAAGCTACAACATGACTCACTTCCTGCTACTTGGGTGTAATTTTTTTTGAGAGACTGACGTCTTTCAGAAAGGTAGGGTGATCGAAAGCAGAAACACATTAACCATCATTCATTCAGTCACTATCTAGCCAGAAACACGTGACACTGCAGTTCAAATGGCCTCACGAAATGTAACTTTCTCAGTATTCATTTATGACTTTAGTTGTAAAGACCAGGTCTTCGCCGCTGTAAAGACCTAAGGAAATTTGAAGTCTAAAACTCTACGGACATAACCAACCTAGTTTCATTTACGGTAAAAAATTCTTGACTCCTTGACTGGGTTGTGCTCCAGCTTCTGGGCCTCCTAAAGTGCTGAGGTACAGCTCCTGTGCTTCGGAACGTTAAACTATGGCTAATAGACTTCTTTTGAACATTTATGTTAAAGTGAGAAAGTAATTATGCTGGTGGACTTAAATGCTAAAGTAGGAGAAACTGTTGTAGAGGGAGTGTTGGGTAAGTTTGGGGTGCCAGGGGTCAAGGATAATGGGGGTGCCAGGAGTAAAGGATGATGGGGGGTGCCAGGAGCAATGGATAGTGGGGTTGCCAGGAGTAAAGGATAATGAGGGTGCCAGGAGTAAATGATAATGAGGGTGCCAGGAGTAAAGGATAATGGGGTGCCAGGAGTAAAGGATAATAGGGATGCCAGAAGTAAAGGATAATGAGGTTGCCAGGAGTAAAGGATAATGAGGGTGCCAGGAGTAAAGGATAATGAGGATGCTAGCAGTAAAGGATTATGAGGGTGCCAAAGGTAAAGGATAATGGGGATGCCAGCAGTAAAAGATAACGAGGGTGCCAGGAGTAAAGGATAATGAGGATGCCAGGAGTAAAGGATAATGTGAGTGCCAGGAGTAAAGGATAATGGGGGTGCCAGGAGTAAAGGACAATGGGGGTGCCAGGAGTAAAGCATAATGGGGGTGCCAGGAGTAAAGGATAATGTGGGTGCCAGGAGTAAAGGATAATGTGGGTGCCAGGAGTAAAGGATAATGTGGGTGCCAGGAGTAAAGGATAATGTGGGTGCCAGGAGTAAAGGATAATGGGGGTGCCAGGAGTAAAGGATAATGAGGATGCCAGGAGTAAAGGATAATGTGGATGCCAGGAGTAAAGGATAATGGGGGTGCCAGGAGTAAAGGACAATGGGGGTGCCAGGAGTAAAGCATAATGGGGGTGCCAGGAGTAAAGGATAATGGGGATGCCAGGAGTAAAGGATAATGGGGGTGCCAGGAGTAAAGGATAATGTGGGTGCCAGGAGTAAAGGATAATGGGGATGCCAGGAGTAAAGGATAATGAGGATGCCAGGAGTAAAGGATAATGTGGGTGCCAGGAGTAAAGGACAATGGGGGTGCCAGGAGTAAAGGATAATGGGGGTGCCAGGAGTAAAGGATAATGGGGGTGCCAGGAGTAAAGGATAATGTGGGTGCCAGGAGTAAAGGATAATGTGGGTGCCAGGAGTAAAAGACAATGGGGGTGCCAGGAGTAAAGGATAATGGGGGTGCCAGGAGTAAAGAATAATGTGGGTGCCAGGAGTAAAGGATAATGGGGGTGCCAGGAGTAAAGGATAATAAGAAACCTTTAAATGAATTAAAGGAGCAAGATTTTAAACTATTAACAGCAAAAACAGACACAACCAAAGTCTTCAGCGAGCTCTGGTGAGTAGGCCTACTGTATAGTTGTATTTTTGTATTTATAAATGCAATTTTAAAATGTTTTCTGTGGCTCCTGAACATTCAAAAATGTATGAAAAATGTTGAACATTAAAATGGTATAAAATACCGACAGGTTGTTAGGTAAGACACATATGCAACAGCTAGGTATCTTTATTTCGAAACGTTTCGCCTACACAGTAGGCTTCTTCAGTCGAGTACAGAAAAGTCTCTTCTGCTTCTATCAACTTTTCTATACTCGACTGAAGAAGCCTACTGTGTAGGCGAAACGTTTCGAAATAAAGATACCTAACTGTTGCATATGTGTCTTACCTAACATGAAAAATGTTATATGTGACTCTTCTTAATAAAGAACTTGTCCATATCTGGTGTAGTTTACATTTTCTTGTATCGTTTTACTGTGATATTCCTTTGAGATTTGATTCCTAGACGACTGTGTCCACAAACAATGTCCTTAGTGGGTCTTAGTCATATGGTGTCCCACAGCTGGAGCTTTTGATCATCTGACCGAGGCCTTCCACTGGCTTACCCCTCCACCCTTTTAAGAATTAAGTTTATAGTTATAACAATTATCGCTCGCACACCGGCAAGGGTAAAGCCATTTAATTAAGTTGAACTTTACTGATGATGTGGAACTGAGAACAAAAAATAGGTGAGGATAATAAAAGGCTACAAATGGATGTGAATAAGCTGCGAAAACTGTGGTTATTATTATTATTATTATTATAATCAAGGGGGAAGCGCTAAACCCGGAGGATTATACAGAACGAAAACTGTGGTGCGAAAACTGTGGTGAACTAGACTAGTTCGGTTCGGTTCACGGAAGACTGAACGAACAAGTGCGGAGCTTCGGAAAATGGTGAGTAATAGCATCCATCGCTGTCACTATCATGACCCGGCATGATAGTGACTTTCTTTGTACTTAGCTAATCAAAATTGTGATTGCACATTGTAAATTATGCAAAGAAATAAGATCCTTAATGCTTAACATCCATCGCCCTTTTCATCGCTTCTGATATCATCAAAGAAATGCTTCTAACATGAACAATGGATGTAAACAAACTGCAAAACTGTGGTGAACTAGACTAGTGCGGTTCAGGTAACATGTTCCTTAAGTTCACGGAAGATCAAACGAACAAGTGCGGAACTTCGCAAAATGGTAACAGCGTCCATCGTTACCTGTAACTACCATCGCTCTTTTCATCGCTTCTGATATCATCAAAGAAATGCTTCTAACATCAACAATCAAATCATACATTTGCTTAAATATACGATTATGAATTTGTTATACTATTTCATAGTTGTAATACTAACGAGTAGCGTCCTGCGTGGCGGCCCTGGTGGACGCCGTCTTGGTAAACAAGACGGTGTTGGTGTACAAGCGCTAGTTGTCGGACACCCTCTTGTCGTCGGACACGAGGGTGTGGATGTCGCGGAGAGAGCAGGTGGACTCCGTCGTGTTCCAGGTGACCACCAGAGAGATGGTCTTCTCCAGCCAGCTGTTGGATACCCTCATGTATATCACAGCTACTACGAGGATGATCATCTGTCAGACGATGATCTGTCAGACGATGATCTGTCAGACGATGATCTGTCAGACGATGACTTCTGGGACGACTTCTGGGGTGACCTCTTCTCAGACGACGACTCAGACATGTCGGACTCAGACATGTCGGACTCAGACATGTCGGACTCAGACGATGACGACGACGGCTTCTACGATTACTACCGTCACCAAACTCTCTGGGATCCTCCCGTCACCTATCGTGACGGGAGGCAGGGAGCCGGGAGTGGACAGGTCCTAGCCAAGGTGGACAAAGGCTCTCTTACTGCCAGTGACGAAGTCTGGAGGCAGAGAGCCAGGCTCAGGAGAGGCTGCCAGACTCCAGTGTGCTGGTCAACGAGGCTCAGATAAGATCTTCCATGGAAGAAAAAGAACAGAGGGAAGCTCTGGTAAGATCCTTGAAAGAAGAAAGAGAGCCGAAGGAGGCTCAGAAAAGATCCTTTGAGGAGGAAAAACAGCAGAATAAAGCTTTCTTACGATCCTTGAGGGAGGAGAAGGAGACTCAGCAAGGAAGATCCTTGGAGGAGAAAGAGGAGAGGGATGCTCTGCTAAGATCCTTGAAGAAGGAAAAAGAGGAGAAGGAGGCTTTGCAAAGATCCTTGAAGGAGATAGAAGACCAGAAGGCGGCTCTGGAAAATGCCTTGTTGTTAGAAAAAGGGCGTAGGCAGGAGGTGGAAGATAAGGTGGAAGACTTAACGGTGTATACTCAGAGACTAGAAGACAACAGGAAGTTGGTCAAAAATGTCCTGGAGGCCAGAGACCTAAATATTCAACAACTCCAGAAGAATATTGGGCTGTTGAAAAATATGGTAAAAGATGGCGAAGCCTGCCACAATTTCCTGCCATTGTTGGAGCAGGAATTGTCTCAGTGCAAAGGTGAAAAAGAATCAAATATCAAAACGCTTGACAGCATAAAAATTGAGTTGTTGGACCTCCAGAATATCTTCCTGGAGCTTGGAGTGGAGGTTGATTCTCTCAACCAAGTGCTGGAAGAGAAGGACAAAGAGTTGAAGGCCATGTCAGAGGACTGTTGTGACGAAGACGTAGATGTGTTACGAGCGGAACATGGTTTACTGAAGCATTATCTGAGCCAAGCAAATGTACAACTGGGCACGGAATCTCTTGAAATCAAACGTTTGAGAGGAGAGGTCGAAAAATATTACAAACTTCAAGTGAAGTTCAAGGAAGAGAATGAAGGCCTCGTGAATGACATTAAGATTGCTGAGCGGGAAAAAGAGGCCTTAAATAAAGCAATAGAAGCTCAAGAGAAACAAATCCACCAGTTCAGAGCTTCGTTACAAAGGGAGAAAAATGACCACTTAAGCACCAGGTTTAAACTTAAGTTAATGACCCACGTGGAGAGAGAGAAACGGAGAAAATTGTTAGACCACTGGATGTTTCACCCCATCACTCTATATATATCAGGTGGTGTCTTAATTTTGCTGCGCTTGGTGATCCCCTTACTTCAAGACTGGTACCTGTCTCTTTGTAGGTTATACCTCAGTTATATCTGAGGAAGAACTTCACCCTACTGCTGGGGTGTTAGGTACAAGATTTCACCCTACTGCTGGGGTGTTAGATACAAGACTTCACGCTACTGCTGGGGTGCTAGGTACAAGACTCACCCTACTGCTGGGGTGTTAGGTACAAGACTCACCCTGTGCTACTGGGGTGTAGCTACAACATGACTCACTTCCTGCTACTTGGGTGTAATTTTTTTTGAGAGACTGACGTCTTTCAGAAAGGTAGGGTGATCGAAAGCAGAAACACATTAACCATCATTCATTCAGTCACTATCTAGCCAGAAACACGTGACACTGCAGTTCAAATGGCCTCACGAAATGTAACTTTCTCAGTATTCATTTATGACTTTAGTTGTAAAGACCAGGTCTTCGCCGCTGTAAAGACCTAATGGTTATTACAGCGGCGCTCCAGAGAAAGCAGGGGGAGTGAAATATAAATTTTAGTCTTCTTCAAACATAAAAATGAGGATAAACAGAAATACCACAGATGGAACAGAGGTGTACAACAGAGGGACATCCCAAGTCAGTCATACACTCAAAAGGATTGAATATGTCCCGTGGCCTGGTAAATCAGTAGCTCAGGTCTTTACAGAAGGTAGTGAGTCCCTCAGTCTTGCCAGAAGGTGGTGAGTCCCTCAGTCTTACCAGAAGGTGGCGAGTCCCTCAGTCTTGCCAGAAGGTGGCGAGTCCCTCAGTCTTGTCAGAAGGTGGTGAGTCCCTCAGTCTTGACAGAAGGTGGTGAGTCCCTCAGTCTTACCAGAAGGTGGCGAGTCCCTCAGTCTTGCCAGAAGGTGGTGAGTCCCTCAGTCTTGACAGAAGGTGGTGAGTCCCTCAGTCTTGCCAGAAGGTGGTGAGTCCCTCAGTCTTGTCAGAAGGTGGTGAGTCCCTCAGTCTTGCCAGAAGGTGGTCAGTCCCTCAGTCTTGCCAGAAGGTGGTGAGTCCCTCAGTCTTGCCAGAAGGTGGCGAGTCCCTCAGTCTTGCCAGAAGGTAGTGAGTCCATCAGTCTTGCCAGAAGGTAGTGAGTCCCTCAATCTTGCCAGAAGGTGGTGAGTCAGTCTTGTCAGAAGGTGGTCAGTCCCTCAGTCGTGACAGAAGGTGGTCAGTCCCTCAGTCTTGCCAGAAGGTGGTCAGTCACTCAGTCTTGCCAGAAGGTGGCGAGTCCCTCAGTCTTGCCAGAAGTTGGTGAGTCAGTCTTGTCAGAAGGTGGTCAGCCCTTCAGTCTTGTCAGAAGGTGGTCAGTCCCTCAGTCGTGACAGAAGGTGGTCAGTCCCTCAGTTTTTCCAGAAGGTGGTCAGTCCCTCAATCTCTCCAGAAGGTGGTCATCAGTCCCTCAGTCTTGCCAGAAGGCGGTCAGTCCTTTAATAATTATAGAAGGTGGTCAGTCCCTCAGTCATGATAGAAGGTGGTCAGTTCCTCAGTCATGATAGAAGGTGGTCAGTTCCTCAGTCATGATAGAAGGTGGTCAGTTCCTCAGTCATGATAGAAGGTGGTCAGTTCCTCAGCCATGATAGAAGGTGGTCAGTTCCTCAGTCATGATAGAAGGTGGTCAGTTCCTCAGTCATGATAGAAGGTGGTCAGTCCCTCAGCCATGATAGAAGGTGGTCAGTTCCTCAGTCATGATAGAAGGTGCTACAGAGTATTCTGACCCTGGTAGATCAGGTAGACATTGCAGAGCTAAGAAGGTCACCTGAACCCAGGTGAATGCTCAAGGTTGTCTGTGTCAGGTGAAGCTCACATTCACCTTGAAAGTTCACTGCCCTACGTCGCCGCTGACACTTGCATCTCACAAGCGACAGCACCTGGATTCGATCTCCGGGAGAGACGAAGTGAATGCAAAATAAGTATGTTCTTGTAGTTACAGTCACTGTTCATTCACATAGCAGCAAGTAGGTTCTTCGGTGTTAGGTGATTATTGTGGGTGGTATCCTCTGAAAAATATGTTTAAGACTTTATTCCCACGTCTTAAAGTCGGGAAAAATATTTTACACTTTATTCCCACGTCTTAAAGTCGGGAATATAATGTCAGTATATTTGTCCTAGTCCCATCCACAGTACCTAACTCTGGAAATTTCCCCTGACTGCTATTAGAAGTAAACTTGTTTATACTTGGTAGAAATTAACGTCTCTGCAGAAAGCAGTTTACACGTAGTGGAGGATGGCCTAATGGACGCTCGTCAAGGACGCCGTCAAGGTCTGTACATGTGATGTACTTGAGACCAATATCAACGGTTTCTATACCCTTGCAAGACTTCTCAGTTGACTGCTTTATTTAACAACCAGGCTATTACTGCCAGTTGCCCGCAGCCCTACAGGATCACGACTAGGCTAATATCTCTCTTTTTTGATGGAATTGACCCAGTTTACCCCCGATATATATTTATTTTTTAGCTTTGCTGTCAGTGTTTCTTATGTGTTCATAGACTGTTGAAGAGTCTGGAACAATGGTTGTTGACACGAAATTCTTTGCGTGTGGTATTGTAATATCTTTCACGTCATTTAGTTTATATAGTGGTGTAGGTTGGACTGCCGACCATCAAACGTTGCCCAACTCTCTCTCTTTCTCCTGCATTTTCAAGATATTTAAAACGCTTCGAAGGATTCTCGGTATTTTAGTTTATTATGTGCTGGTAATAAACCATGCCTGTGTATTTCCCGTGTTAAAAACAGTTTTAGGCACATTATTCTAATGCTGAGAACAAATGTAATTTGTGCTGGAGTGAGTCAGACTGATCACACACTGAGGAAAACACCAAAATAACGAGATGGAAAATTAACAAGAAGAAAAATCCTGGTTGTATTTTAGTCAGCTTCATCATCCCCAACGATACAGTTTCGTCGTATTTCTTTTTAACGACTAACAAGGCAAGAGGCGGCGGGATAATGTTTTAACACGCCAGCATCTTTACGATGCAGCTTGAGCAGTGATTCAAGCTAAATTGCTTTTAAAGTCAGGATCTTTCGGCCAGAGTCTGAGATGACCGAGGATATCTACGCAGCGGAGGGTCGCATTTTGACTACAGTGCTCAGGTAATGGGTCACCGGCACCAAGTATTTTAATATTCTCAATATCAGATTTAACTTTGTGACAACGACACCCACGACGTGGAGGATAGTATGTGGCCAGGCTACACCAGGACCTGTGTCAACACTGTTAATGGTTCCAGATATGTAGATATATGGTTCAAAGAACCGACAGGATGATGAATTAGACGTGTTGCACTAGTGTTTAATTCATCGTGATGCTGAGGGATCATCAACCCCCGCCATCTGGTGGTGGACCTGGATAGATTAAGCAGCATGAACTTAGTAACTCGCATTTCTAGGAAAAAAGTAAACCAAGGAACGGGTGGGGGTTCAACCCATGGTGGGTGAGTCGAAAAACTCTTGGCCATGGGTTCAAACCCCCACCAGTTCCGTGGTTTGTTTTCACTCGTGTTATTACGATTTCGTGAGTCACATTTCTAGGTTTTGTTCAATTCGTTATTTCGTGTTAATAGTTCGAAAGGTTGGGGAAATTGGATAAAACTTTCGTGCCCATTTGTGCTTCGTCTGCTTTAACACGAAACTTTATCCGAATGGTTTTCAAAAGAGTAACTTCATTACCAAACTGAGAAACTGAGATCTATTATAACCCCGGACAGCGTTTCATGTTTACTGTGAGAATAGTTTTAATTTTTTTTAACACATCGGCCGTCTCCCACCAAGGCAGGGTGGCCCGAAAAAGAAAAACTTTCACCAACATTCACTCCATCACTGCCTTGTCAGAGGCGCGTTTACACCACAGTTATAAATCTGCAACATCAACATTCCTCCTTCAGAGTGACGGCAACCATAAATTTTATGGGTGAATGAGTAGTTATCAATTTGTCAAACTACTCAGGATTTTGTCCCTCAGCTTCCCAACCATCCCGGGGGTTTACCTACTAGCCAGGGTAAACCAGTAGTGTCACTTTACTCCTGACTCTCCTCCCGATCTTAATATTAGTTTACCTGCATTGACTTAGGTTTATACTGGCTACTCATGTATCTCTGTCATAACCTGTCTCTTCAGGTAACCCCGATTTTCTCAGCCGAATTTGCGGACCACGAGGGGCTGTCTGCATCGTAAGACGGAGGTCCAACCCGATCATAGTCTGGAGTTACGATTCTCGTATCCTTGCTTACTCTATTAGCCTCTACCTCGCCTACTTGGTGCTCTAGGAAAATAGTGTGAACCTCTGTATTGACCAGGGCTCTTTTTCGATTGTATGATCTACAATACGGTTATCCTTGTCAATTCTACTATCCTCATCACCTAAGTAGTACCAGGAAAAGTGTACTAACATCTACGTCTCTTTTCCCTACAAATCAACAACAGATACCAAGACATCAGGTGTAGCTCTGGGCACCTTAATTTATTTTTCTGTGTTGATTCAGGTTATTAAACTTCATATTTTTTATTTATTAAAATAAACTCTTTTTTCTCTGTCAAATTTTATATATATATTTAATGGATTTATACATTTTTTCTATAATTTTATATAAATAAACTCTTCAGAACCAACACCACTCTGGGTTCCATTTCTCACAAGTACCAACAGTCTGATTGTCCAGAAAGTCAACCAAGAGATCTGATTAGAAACAGGACTGTGGTGGCAGTGATCACCGACACAATCAACAGTAGACAAAAAGTCAGAAATTTAAAATATATCGAATCATTGTGGATGACGAGCGAAATTCCGATCCACTTTCCGGTCATCCACATGATGTGATTTTCGACACTTGATTTGACTTTATTCCAAATATTTTTTTTTTTAAGTTGGGAATTGGTTTCACTTAGACATCTGCAATGAGCAAAAGATTAAACCTGTTAATGACTATATAAAGATATATATTAACGAGTGCCACCAAAATTGGGCTTTTTAATATGAGGTTGGTTGAGCAGTGCCAAAGAGTGGTCTTCCAAAAACTCTATCAGCTCTTCAAAGCTCTCAGAAAAAAACAATAATAATGACGCTGTTTCGAACCTTCCAACGAGACAGAAACTTCTGAATCTTTGAAGAAAATGGAGACTGAACTATTGATAACGCTATAAATACTTAAATTGTAAAGAAATTAGAAACGTAGTTCTGTAAATACACAAATAAGTCGCACAGAGGAGAAAGGAGCTTGTGATTACCTTTCGGCTCGACTTGGATCATCAACAGTCAGTGCGACC